GAGGCTGCAGGTAAGAACTTGGGCCTGGGCTGTGTGTGGCGGGAGTCCTCCCTGTCCCAGGGCCCAGCACAGCAATGGAGTACCAGCCACATCATCCTGGCAGGATCTGTTCGGGACCCACCTGCAGTGGCAGAACAGCCTCTCCTAAGAGGCGATCGTCTCTCTCCAGGAAAACAACAGTGTTCCCCATCCCAACCAGACTGCCTGACTCAGTGGAGTTACTGCTGCTGCTTCAATGTCCTAATGCTGTCAGCTGGCACCTGCCTGTGCTCACCCACACCCTCCCCCCTTGCCAGGCCTGCCTTCTCTGTGGCCTGTGCGTGGCCATCTTTGCCTGATTGAGCATTGAGGTCTCCTGGGCACCCAGCCCATTCCTGCACCTGCTGCTTTCAGCCCCACCGGCTCAGGGCTTCTACCCAGTGGCTCTGATGATAAAATCAACATGGACGCAAGTCGTCTCAGAGAACTTTAATGAAAGTGTGGGCAGTTCTTTTCCTCATGATGGTGTGTAGGTGGATGAGCTCCATTGCAGCTGCTAAGACACCAGCCACTTACCGAGAGAGAAAGTCAGGCTGCTTCAAACCCAGAACCTGATGCAGAAAAGCATCATTTGTGGTCAGAAAGTCTAGCAGCCATGCCTTGTGGGAGATCACACTGGCATCCAGGCCTTTGCTTGCATTGCAGGGGAGGAGCCGATTCCCCATCCCGGAGAACTCTTCGTTTCCCAGCCCTGCGCCAGCTTTGCCACTGCACAGGCTTTTGAGGCAGGAGGCAGGTAAGAGACACAGCCTCAGATCAAAGCAACCATCACCCCTAGTTGGCCAAGCAGGAAAGGAGCCTTTTAGAACATGGAAAGTGTGGTCATCCCATCGATAGACAGCACACACTGTGCATAAATATAAGTTGCATGGGGATGGAAGTGGGGCAGGGAATGGAAATAGACACAGACATTGACAGATTGCTTTCCAGTTTCAAGGCGGCAGATGCACATCATGAGAACAGAGGAGACCGAGACAAAGGCTGGATTCGGCTTTTCTAAGCAAGGTGTGTTCCCTTGAAGAGGTGGAGGGTTGCAGAGACAGAGATGGAAGCCTGGACAGGGGAGCCCAGCGGGCCCAGAAAGGTACAGAGGGCAGAGGCTCCTGTTCTGTTCTCCCACCCATGAGGGTGACACTTCTTGCAAACAGTGGCTGTGCTCTCCCAGCAAGAAAAAAGCACAACTAAATCAACACTACATACAGACACAGACAGAAAACTTTCATGTGGCTTTGTTTTCTGCTCCCTGCCTCACCAGGTCCACAAGCAGAGAGGAGTGTGAGGCGCATGGCTCCAGTGTCAGACTCCCCAACATGCTGTGTGCTCAGCAGGATCTGCCCATGGACACCCAGGGAACACTCACCTTCCCCACCTTGGGAGAGGTCGCCGGACAGAGCTGCACTGGGTGTTGGTGTCATCCAGGACCCCACACACTTTCCTGAGTGTGATCCTGCTTCCCTCCTCTGGGCAGCTGCATCCTCTTCTCCTGCAGGATTTTCTGGAAACTCGGCTCTGGGTTTCATCTCCCTTCTCCCCTCTCCTTGCCCCAACCCCCTTTTTCTGAAAAAGCGAGGCAATTGTTTATGGGTTAATTTGTTAAAAATAAATGGCGGCCTCCACGCTTCTGTTTTCCTTCAGCCTGGTGGTCACGCAGGGTTACAAAGGTAGCCTGGGCTCCCACACAGGTGCTGGCAGAGGGTGCGGCGGGTGGTCCTGTGTCTCTGCCTCCTCAAGGAAGGAGGCTGTCCCCCTGCCCCTCATCCCTAGGCCTGGCTCCTTCCTGACCTTCTGAATATCCTGTAGTCCAGAGACTTCAGAACCCACTCCTGAGAAGAACGAAGCCAGGCACTTAGAGGAAGACAAAATGGTGCCATGCTAGGATCTTATTAGGTATCTGAATCTGTTAGGAAAAAAATTAGGAACTATGTATAAAACTTAAAATATTCAAGTGTTAAAAGGTTATTTGAATCAAAGTCTTAAAACCTGCCATCAGCAAGCTTCTACCACTAAGTGGGGACTTTTACAGAAGTTGAGCAAGTTCCCTGAGTTGAGAGAAAATGAAGCCACCTGTGCTGGGGACACATGGGGCAGGGAGAGTGTGGGCAGAGGGAAGCCGGAGAAGTCCCGGCCTGTGGAAGCCAAACCGGAGAGCATGCGCTGGGAGGGCGGTCAGGATCGGGGATGGGGTTGCTCTCCCTGGAGGAGGAAGCCTGAAGTGCACAGCCCGGGACTCCCTCCCCTGGAGTCCAGTCCCCCAACATTTCACAGGCCTCCTGGAGCTGCCTTCCAATAAGGACAAACACAGCAAGAAAAGATCCATTTCTGCACAAAAGTCTTCTGGAAAGAAGAAAAAAGAAAGCCGTGAATGGAGTCAACACGTTACCCAGTGCTGACTTACCCTCTCAAATCTTTTCTAAATGAAGTGTGGTTTTTGAGTCAGGGAATGGAAGAGGCCCCTCCCACACAGGGACAGGGCCATGACCCCAGAGGATGAAGCAGCAGCGTTTATTCAAGATACAACAGTGAGGGGATCCCGTCACATTCCCATCTCCAGGAGAAGTGATCCAGGAGAAATATAAGTTCCTAAAACCACTCCCTTCACTGTGTCCCCCAGGACCTGGCCCAGACTCTGAGATCACTGGCTTAGGGTGCCCTCAGGTGGCTGTGTGGAAAACCACAGTTTAGGGCCAGTCTGGGGCTCCCAGACCTGGCCAGGATGTCCCCAGGCCACCTGTCCTTCTGCTTGGTCTCACTGTCCCTTGGCAGACGTCCTGATGCTTGGGGCTGGTCTAAGGACACCTCAGGAAGGTTTGGTTCCCAGTTTACAGATGGTCCGATTATCCAGAGGTTTCAGGGACGTCTATCTGCCTTCTGGAGATGGACAGGGGCCTTAAGACTTCGGTTGAGAACAGGATGCTCTGTCTCTTACTGTCGGGGGCAGGGATGGCTTCCAGCTGCAGGAAGTACAGCAGCACCTGGACCCGCCAGAAAGAGTGGGAAAGAGGAGAGAGGCTCAGAGGGTGCTCACAGCTGGTGATCTTTAGCCCCCAAGTCCAGCTCAGGTGGTGGGTCCTCTGCTGCTGCCATGAAGCCTTTACAGTGAGTCGGGAGGTGGGGGTGCAGATACAGACAAGGCATGACTTGTGGGGGTTATTTTAGAGGTGCACAGGGCCTTGCTCTGTCACCCAGGTTGGAGTACAGTGGCTCCATCATGGATCACTGCAGCCTCTAACTGCTAGGCTCAAGCCATCCTCCCGTGTCAGCCTCCCCAGTAGCTAGGACTACAGGTGTGTGCCACAATGCCTGCCCTTTTCTTTTTTCTAGAGATGGGGTTTGCTGCATTGTCCAGACTGGTCTCAAACACCTGGGTTCAGTTATCCTGCTGCTGTCTCTCAAAGTGCTGGGATTACAGGCATGCGCCCCCACACCCAAATACTTGGGGTGGTTTAAAGCCCCCAGTAAGGTGCACCAGCAGGACCAAGAGGTGGCCTGGGCCTCCCCAACACTCATCCATGCAGACCTGGCAAGTTTCTCTCTCTGAATGTCAGGCGCCACCACAGACAATGCAAGTAGGAACCTGGGCAGGGCAGGACTGGGGGTGTGGCAGGCAGAGGCCGCCTCTGTCAGGTCAGGGTAGCATGCGCTGGCTGGAGCCTGTCTTGCCACACATAGGTCATGACCTCCAAGGACCAGCTGTCGGTCATGGTGATGGGCCGCTGGGATTGGCAGAAAGCTTGCTCTCCCTCTCTGAGGCTGGAGCAGTGTGGGACCAAAGACCATGGCGAGGTTGTGCAGGGACTTTTATTGACTGCCTTTTTCTTACCATCCTGTGCAGGACCGAAGCAGAGGGTGCTGTTTATATGCCACCACCAGGAAAGAGGCAGAGGGGCTGGGCCGTGCTGGAGTCCTCTGGGAGGGAGTGACCTCGACCCTGGCTGTGCTGCAAGCTGATTCCAGCCCTGGTACTTTTGGGTCTCAGAGGCCCAGGATGAGGGGTTAGCTCTGGGCTGGTGGGGAGGTCTCCTCCACGGTCGGGGAGTGAGGGGGTTGGGGGGTTCAAGTGCACTGTTGGCTATGGCCAAAGTTCTGAGCTCTTTGTGAAGCCACAGTGCAGAAGGGGAGAAGGGCAAAGAGGAGAGGCTGGGGTGGGGGTGGCAGTGGCGCTGGTCCCCAGAGGCAGTGAGGGACTGTAGATGGGTTGGGGGAAAAGGTCCTCGGTGCTGGGGGTCTGATGTGAGCAGAGGGGCACCCTGTGGGCTGGGTTTTTGTAGCCCTCCCTGGGCAGCCATGAGAGAGCTGGGCTACCTTTTCAGGTGGTCCAGAAGGAAAAGGAAGGTGAGCAGGTTGGCCTCCAGCTTGGACAAGAGCAGGTTAAGCATGGAGTTCTCCTTTGCAGCGGGGTCTGAGATTACTGCAGAAGGCAGTCGGTTACTCCTCATGGTCACAGCGAGCTGGAGATCTCTCTCGAGGTGGTGACATGGAGCACCCGGGACACGTGTTCCTGAACAGCCCAGGCTCGTCATCATCCTCACTCCCACAGTGCTGGCCCCCAATGAGGACCCCGTGAAGGGCACCAGTGTGGGGTATGAGCCACGTGAATCCCTTTTCTCTGCCTCACAGGGGTCAGCAGCACCTGCAGAACAGCAGCAGGAGGTGGCGTGAGAGCAGTGGCTTATGGGCAGAGCTGCCTGTGGGAAAATGCGGCTGCCACCCCCTCCCGAGGGCAGCCCAGAGTAGTGGAGGCTCAGCATAAAATGAAAAAGGGGAGTGAGGGACACAAGGAGGTGGGAGGTGGGTGGCCTTAGCCCCACAAACTAAGTAGAGACCCTCTCTTCACCGTAGACTCCGCAGGGGCACCCCAGGCTGGCAGACCCGGTCCTCTGCGCATGGGCCCAGGAGGCAGACCTGCCCTAAGGGTCATGCGGAGGATACGGGGCCACACATGCCGGTGCCCTGCTTAGACATCAGCCTCCAGGTTGATTCAGGGTCAGGCCAGGTTTGATCCTGTGCTTGACTGGGCCAGGACCCGTGACTAGAGCACCTGGGGACCCTCGTTCAGCCCTGGTCTGCAGGAAGGGGGACAGCAGACTTTAGGACCCCACAGCGCAGCAGTGCTGAGCATTTTACTCTCTTGGTCTCCTTGAGGAATAGGACAAGGAGTCCTCTGGGGACAGACGAGGACTTACACAATGGCCTCGGTTTTGGCCCCTGCTTTCTGAGCTTGATTAAAACGCTGACCATGGCAGAAAGGACATAGCTTGGGTTCCCACACCTCACTTTCCACAGCCCCTAATGGCAGCAGTGCAAATGGAGGAGATGCCTCCTATGACGCCAAGGCCTCCAGTGCTCACCGATGCCCTCATCGAAGTTGGGTAGAACTCGTCAGTAAAGAGGGGCTCAGGCAGTTCACCGAAGTAGAGCTTCAGCATGTCTGTGATGGCGTGTACGTCCATCTCACTCATCATCATCGACACGTCCCTGTTATCTGGAAAGAACATGGAAGTGCTGCAGCCTCCTTGAGGATCCCAAGTGGGTCTCCCGCCATCCCTGCCTTGGCTAAAGCACCGTCCCTGCCACGCTGGCCACTGTGGGGGTCCCTCCCTGGCTTTGAGCAGCTCATCTCCCTCCTTCCAAGAGCTGTGCGTGGTTCTGTGTCTGTAGAGATGATGGAGGGGTGTGTGCATCCCCATATTTCTCCCCTGCTTGGCCCAATGTGATATCCAGGAGGAGGCCAGTGCGGCAGGACTCAGAGCCTGCATGGGAATCGGGTGGCTCTGCCCTGTTCATAGCACCCACCCCTGTACCAGTCTTCTGACAGCAGGAAGGCTGTGGGAGAATGCGATGGGTTTCAGTGTTTGAACCAGTGTCTTCCTTCGGATCCAGTTGGTCACTGGAGCTGACCTCCCCACCACAGGCCAGGTCCATCCTGGGCCTCCAGAGGGAACTGAAACTACCACACGGCCCACCCAGGGGTGCTGGGCATTCTAGGGGTCCTGGTCTGGGTGGGTGGTGTGTACCCCAAAGAAAGGTCACAGGTACAAAGTCCTTTGAAGTTGCTGGACTAGGACACTCTGGGTTCTCAGTGCCCTCCCCTGGCATTTGGGGCAGGTCCAGGTCCTTAATACTCTGTGAAGGGCGGTGAGATGGAGTTGGAGGTGGTGCAGCCTTAGCCTGAGCTGGGTCCCATCAGTGCCATCTGCCCACCACATCCTCATACAGGGCAGTGACGGAACACACTGAGTCCCAGGCTTCCGCACCTCATGTCCACCCTCAAGGCAGGCAGGCCAAGGCCCCTGGGCAGCCCCTGGTCCACCTAGCAAGTGGCATGGGTGGGTAGGATGGTTTCACAGAAGCTCCTTCTACAACTCTTATCTTCTCTTTCTTAAAAATAATAAAACAGTAAATGAAGAAAAGACACAGTGAAGAATGTGACATGACCCGGCCATGGAGCACTGTGAGATCTCATTGTGGACATTGATGCCCTCACCTCCATCACAACACAATCCAGCTGATGACAAAGGCTGCCTTCAGTGCCTGGATGTCCGTGGCCACTCCAGACCCGCAGTAGATGCCCACCTCCTTCACGCCATGATGCTTGATCTACTCCACACATTGGTGCAAGATAAAGGGCACCTTGGCAGCTTGTTCAGTTAGTTCATATTTTTGTGTAGTTGCCTATTTATTATAAAGTGCCTGTGTCAACTTTGCAAAGCCTTCATGTTCATTTATAGTGAAAGTTTTAAAATTCATTTGTTTGTTAAAAATAGATTGAGTGGCATTTTTAAATGCCTGTTTTTAAGCCTAGTAAAAGTGTGTCTGAACTAACTTGGAAGTTTCTGTTACAGGCCATAAATATTAAATGACAGAAATGCCATTTTATGGTAGGTTAGTTTTATTTATTTATTTATTTTATTTTATTTTTGAGACGGAGTCTCACCCTGTCACCAAGCTGGAGTGCAATGGTGTGATCTTGGCTCACTGCAACCTCCATCTCCCGAGTTCAAGTGACTTCCCCTGCCTCAACCTCCCGAGTAGTTGGGACTACAGGCACATGCCACAAAGCCTGGTTAAGTTTTTGTATTTTAGTAGAGGTGGGGTTTCGCCGTGTTGGCCAGGATGATCTCAATTCCCTGACCTCGTGACCTGCCTCGGCCTCCCAAAGTGCTGGGATTATAGGCGTAAGCCACCGTGCCCAGCCTGGTAGGTAGTTTTAAAGGTTCCTGACCCCCTTAGTATATAACTGGAAACAATGTATTGGTGTCAGAAATGTGTAATATGGCATTTTTGATGGTTAGTTTCACGTTTAATTTGAGAATACCTAACCTTATAAAATCAAACTAGCAAATTACTTTGTAGACAAGACAGTTGAAACAGTTTTAATAAGAAATCTTACTGCAGTTTTATGTAGGAAGGAACTGGTGTATTTAAAGCTGCATGTAACATCTGAGTTTTAAGTTTAATATGCTAGCCGTCTCTATTAGTTTTCTAGGCGTGCCGTATCAAAGTACCACAGACTGGGGGGCAGAAACAACAGAAATGTGTTCTCACAGTTCTGGAGGCTGGAAGTTCAAGACCAAGGTGTCAGCAGGGTTGGTGCAGTGGCTCAGCTGAGAGCCACACAGGACAGGGAGCTTCCACTCCCGAGCCAAGGGAGGTGGTGAGTGAGAGTGCTACCCAACCTGGGAAACTATGCTTTTCTCATGGAACTGTGTAACCCACAGATCAGAAAATCCCACTAGTGAACCCATACCACTGGGGTCTAAAAATCCACAAAGTTGTGCAGATTCTCTACAGCCACCCAGCTAGAAATTGCCTAAGCTTGCTGAGTTCCTGGGGTGGGTGCGAGGTGGCTGCCTACTGTCTAAGCCTTCTGAGCTCCTTGGGGAAAAGGCAGCAGCCAACAGTGGGACTGCTAGCTGCCTAACACACGAAGCTCTCAGGGTGGGGGATGGGTGGCAGCCATCTCTATAGCTCCAGGCTGTGCTTTTCCCTAGCTGGAGCCAGTGAGGCTGGAAGACTTGGTCCTAAGAGGTATTCCCCACAGCCCAACACATGGGCTGTGGCAGGCTGTAGCCAGAGTGCCTTTTCAGGTCTGACCCTGACCCACCCCTCCTCACTGGGTGGGGCCTCCCTGCAGGAACTCCAGGAACTCCATCCAGGGGCTCAGGGACAGAACTCTGATAATCCTGGGCCTGAGTCCCTAGGGGGAGGAGTAGTTATCTTCTCCACAAACCAGCAGACTTAGTCTTTCCTCCTTCTAGTTCTGAGGAACCCAGACAGCTCAGGTGAGTGAGTTTCTCTCCACTGCTGCACACCACCTCCACCAATGTGTCCTGCTCCCTGTGCCACCCAACTGGGTGAGACTCTGCAACAGAGGTTTTCAGACACCCTATACAGAAGCATTCCCACTGGCATCAGGTTGGTACCTTCGAGGTCAGACATCTCAGAGGAAGGAGGAGGCACCCATCTTTGCTGTTCTCCAGCCTCCTCAAGTGACATAGCCAAGCTCAGGAGTGAACCAGATGAATAGGGCCTGAAGTGAACCCCCACAGCAGAACTACAAAACAGGGACCTGACCATTGAAAGAAAAGCAAACAGAAAGCAATGACAGCATCAACATGAAAAGTCCCCACAAAAATCTCATCCAAGGGTCGGAAGCCTTATAGATTGAAACTAAAAAGGTCAGAGTGCCTCTTCTCCTCCAAATAATTACAACAGCTCTCCAGCAAGGGCACAGAACTGGACTTAGGATAAGATGGATGAATTGACAGAAGTAGGCTTCAGAAGGTGGGTAATAAACTCTGCTGAGCTAAAGAAGCATGTTGATGGAGATGAAAAACACAGCACGAGAACTTTGTGAAGCATACACAAGTATCAATAGCCAAATAGGTTAAGCAGAAGAAAGAATATTGACGGCGAAGACCACCTTGCTGAAATAAGGTGGGCAGACAAGATTAGAGAAAAAAGAATGAAAAGGAACAAACAAAAGCTCTGAGAAATATGGGACTTTGTAAAAAGACTGAACCTACAATTGACTGGAGTACCTGAAAGAGGAGAATGGAACCTAGTTGGAAAAGCATCCTTCAGGATATTATCAGGGAGAACTTCCCCAACATAGCAAGACAGGCCAACATTCAAATTCAGGAAATACAGAGAACACCACTAAGATATTCCATGAGAAGATCAACCCCAAGACAGAATCATCAGATTCTCCAAGGTCAAAATGAAGGAAGCAATGTTAAGGGCAGCCAAGGAGAAAGGCCAGGTTACCTACAGGGAAGCCCATCAGACTAACGGCAGTTCTCTCAGCAGAAACCGTACAAGCCAGAAGAGAGTAGCAGTCAATACTCAACATTCTTAAAAAAAAAAAAAGAATTTTCAACCCAGAATTTTATATCCAGTCAAACTAAGCTTCATAAGTGAAGGAGAAATAAAATTCTTCTCAGACAAGCAAATGCTCAGGGATTTCATCACCATCAGGCCCACCTTGCAAGAGCTCCTGAAGGAAGCACTAAATACAGAAAGGAAAAACTGGTACCAGCCACTGCAAAAACATACCAAAATATAAAGATTAAAGTCACTATGAAGAAACCGCATCAACTAATGTGCAAAATAACCAACTAGCATGATGATGATGGATCAAATTCACACATAACAATGTTAACATTAAATGTAAGTGAATTAAATGCCCCAATAAAGAGACACAGATAGGCCAATTGGATAGAGTCAAGACCCATCAGTGTGCTGGATTCAAGAGGCCTATATCATGTGCCAAGACATACATAGGCTCAAAATAAAGGGACGGAGGAAAATTTACCAAGCAAATGGAAAGCCAAAAAAAAAAAACAAAAAACAGAGTTTGCAATCCTGACCTCTGACAAAACAGACTTTAAATCAACAAAGATCAAAAAAGACAAAGGGCATAATGATATAGGGATCAATTCATAAGAGTAAAGGGATCAATTCAACAAGAAGAGCTAACTATCTTAAATATATAGTCACCCAGATAGGAGTGCCCAGATTTATAAAGCAAATTAATTCTTAGAGACCTACAAAGAGACTTAGACTCCCACACAATAATAGTGGGAGACTTTAACACCCTACTGTCAATATTACGAGACAAAAATTTAACAAGGATATTCACAATAAATAACTAAAATCAGAGCATAACTGAAGGAGATAGAGACAGAAAAAACCCTTCAAAAAAAAAAATCAATGAATCCGGGAAAATATTAACAAAATAAATAGACTGCCAGCTAGATTAATAAAGAAGAAAAGAAAGAAGAATCAAATAGACACAATAAAAAATGAAAAAGAGGATATCACCACTGACCCCACAGAAATACAAACTACTATCAGAGAATACTATAAACACTTCTATGTAAAAAAACTAGAAAATCTAGAAGAAATGAATAAATTCCTGGACACATACACCCTCCCAAGACTAAACCAGGAAGAAGTCACGTCCTTGAAGAGACCAATCTC